GAATTCAATTAACCTCTACAAGAAATTGATACTATTTATTAATTGTTTTATTTTTCTCACATTTCCCCCTGACCGACGTTAACGTTTAAGTTGTTAAGTACGAATTTTGCACCTCCATATTTTTTAAAACCGTTCCGTACTTGGATAGCCATTTCCGACAATTAACTAATATTCAACTGTAAAATTTACACAATCCACATTTACTAATTACTTCTTCCCGATTGATGAAAAATGGTAAAAAATATTTCACGAGTGTTTAATTGGAGAGCGTGATCTTGTCCAAAAACAGGTTGGGAGTGTCACGCTACGAAGAAATCCTTTGTTCAGGGAAACTTAACCAGTTGCATAAGTAAAATATCTAAAATGCTCTTCTCAAAGTTCACGACTGACTCGTGACTCGTGACGACTGCACAATGTCGTCAGAATGATTCTATTAAATAATTGCACGGGTATAACCTCGCCAATCTCCAGGGGAGCAATGACTACTAATTAATTTACTTGGCAGACGAAGGAGGGAGAGATGTTCGCAAGGAAAATATGTATAGGTACAAACATATGCAAGTGTGTAACATTTCATTGTTATGAAATGTCTAAGTTTATCCTCGGATTGTTATTATTGCATTAATGTATTTGTGCTCGATGAACTGGTTCTATTAAATTTTATCAAGTTTATAATTTGTTTCTAACTTAGCGTATCATTTTTATACGTATTTTCTTTTACTTCACTTTAGCTCAGGCTCATTCATGGTTAATATTGTTTTTAAACAATAGATTTATAATTTTACGACGCAGATAAATATAACTAGTCCAGATATTTTATTGCTGGGAATTCTATATGCACATTTGAAAATATCACTTTAGAGAGTTTAGACATATTTTTTATGCAAAAGTTAGTAAATTTTACTGGTATTTACATAGGAGACTCTGGTAGAAATCCAGTATTAAAATAATACCTAGCGATATTCATATGTGACTCTAAGGTACCAGATTTGTATTATTAAGTACTACCGTGTGGTAAGAGCCCGGTATTGAAGTTTTACCATATCGGTACCAAATTCATACGAACCGGTATAATTTTAATATCCAACAGTAATACCAGCAACTTTAATACCGAGAAATCAATACCTGCGTGACTATCTGATTTCTTACAGTGTAAACGCAAGTATTACATATGTACCCATGCATCTATGTATATATGTACTTACCTTATTTATGCGATATTATGTATTGCATAAATGAACCCCGACCCATGAACGAGAAGGGTTGATAAGTGATGGCGTTAACCTCCCCCAACTCTAGATTTGTGATATGCCTCTTTATCTGGTAAATATTTGCATACGTGGAAATTTGATTATTTCGTAATTTAAATTGGAAATTTTCTGTCTAATTATCCACCTAACCAGTATTGTGTTTACCCAAGCAAACATGTATTTGAGTTTTACTGCTTACTTAAAAAATGATTAAAACAGTAAGTACTTATTACAGGAAAAGATTCAGACTCGGGTTTTTATTGTGCGAATTTTCAACAACCATAAAATAATAACGTCTTCAGATAAATGAGAAGTTGGGAAATTATATTCCCCTTACAGAATCATGCAAATTAATTTAAATTCCACTTAATTTTTGAAAGATTTACAGGATATTTACATACCTTTAACTAACTGACTTTCTGCAGTTTGTTAGGATGAAGTTAAATGTTTTAAAAATGTAATAAAGATCAGTTTCCAATTGTGGAAACCAAATATATTTTAAAACCCTTATACAAATTTCAATGGATTTTGTGTGGAATATGTATGTATATTCACATCAGAAAATCATGGTTTATCCATTCTCTTAATCCAACTAATCTAAATAAATGCATAGGTACATACAAATATAAAATCGTCCATCAGAATTTATATAACTTACAATGCGATGGTGTTAGGTGGTTATCGCCGATATCCATCGAACTAATTTTAATTTTTTCACGCTCAAAAATTAGTAGACCCGTATTTTTTCGTTTTCCTGAATTGGCATGTTTACGCCACTTGTGGAATTTTCAAAAAAAATTCAGCCAAAATCAGAATTTTTAAAAATGTTGTAACTTTTCGAATTTTAACCCGATTTCAAAAAATAAACCCAATTTTTGTTCAGAAATACATCCATGATAATAAAAATTCATTTAAAAATTTTTAAAATTTGATATTTTCATGCTATTTCTGAATTTTTAGAAACCCAAAAAACGATATTTTTTTAAATTAAAAGTTTAAAAAAAATATTATCAGGGATGTGATTCTGAACAAAAATTGGGTTTATTTTTTGAAATCCGGTTAAAATTCGAAAAGTTACAACATTTTTAAAAATCCTGATTTTGGCTGAATTTTTTTTGAAAATCCCTCCAAGGGCGTAAACATGCCAATTCAGGAAAACGAAAAAATACGGGTCCACTTATTTTTGAGCGTGAACAATTTAAAATTAGTCCGGTGGATATCGGCGATAACCACCTCACACCTCCTCGTTGTTAGGATTATCGGTAATGTGAGCATTTACAATTTGTGAGCATGAGCAAAAACCTGGTAATGCTTAAAATTCTTGGGACTAGTAAACGAATCTGTAAATGTCCAATGCAGTAAGTTAACAGACCTAAAATACTTAAATATACATATAAATATTTAATTTTAGTCTATCACGATAAACATATGCCCCAAAACGTTGAATTACAAAATTCTTATAAATTTTATGGAATACTCATTTGGAGAAAGCGATTGGATTGCTCACAAAATTCGAACATTCGTATTATCAAGGAAAAGTTCACCCTTAATTTAAAGGTTAGAAGAAGTCACAATCTCCCAATTTAGCTATTAATAGCATTAACTTATAAAACTACATATCTTGCTTCAAAGCAACGACGCACATTGTGCGTGGTATATGTCTCTTATGCCATGGTCACAGACTGGTGAAAATTTTCACGGTTACTCGCCCATACTCGTTACTCATATGTAAACCATTCCTTTCATGAAATGGCACAAGTCGTTTACCAAATTGTCGACTCGTACTACAAAACGTTCGAAAAATTCCCAAAACTTCCATTAATTTGGAGCCGACAGACCCACCGTGTCATTGTCGTTCTTAATTTTAAAGACCTCATAGGTTGGGGAATCGAATGCGTTTTTATCCTGGGATTATGTGTATCAATCCCAAAATTGGTCCAATTTATCTACATCGTGCGAAAATATTTGCAACTTGGCCACTATCCTTATCAGGATGAATTTTCTAGCCCAATTCAACTCTTGTCCGTCGCAGTGTCCTCCATCGGAGGTGGTGGAGCCATCGTAGCTTCATCTTTTGGCCTCCTGTTTAAAAGAGAAATCGTGCAAACTGTAAATTCGATATATGACATGGAGCAGGTTTTAGTAACTCGTGGAAACATTTTACACAACAGGGCAGAAAACTATCGGGATAAGTTGACCCCAAAAGAAGCACTGTTTGCTCAGATATTAGGATATGTTCCACTATTTGCGCTCTACGTGGCGCCAGCGCTTGGGATTTTTGCAGTTGCCAAAGGTCTGGATCCACTCACTTTTGTGATGGATGGATATTTCCGACCGGACTGGGAAAGGTATCAACTCGCCTGGTTTTTAGGGTTTAAGGCTTTTTCCTTGATCATGGTGACGGCCGCGGTGATCTCTGCGAGTAAGATATGGCTCGCGGTGGCGTGCATATTCACCTGTCCGGCGTGGTTCTTGCCGTATAATATTCGAATGTTGGGGAAGGATTATGACGCCATTGGGAGTGAGGGGATAGTTTGGATCCGGAATGTTAGGTGAGTATATATGTAATGCGTGGGGACGCAAACCATGTTCAACCCAGATTATTTTTTACCTTTAGTTTGAAAGATGATCAATGTAATAAGTATGTATTTAGAAACAACAGTAGTGCGGCACAAAATTCGGATGGGAGCAAGTTCGCGAGTTTTCGACTTTTCGACCAGATTCTGTGCTTTGCAACGGCAGTTTTGACGTCTACTGCGTTGATCCCTCGGGAAAACCGAATTTTTTCTCGAACTTGCGGTTCCCCTAATTCTCTTAATTTCGAGCATCTTCTCAAGTTCCATAGTAAATGTTGTTTCTAAAGAGTTGAGCTTTCAAACTGAGGTGGCCAAAAAATATGTACATAGGACCATAAGTTGGGATGAAATGAGATAAAACAAAATCGATGACTGGGTTGAAATGAGATCAAATAAAATCGATGGTTGGGGTGAAGTGAGACGAAGCAAAATCGGTAATTGGAGTGAAACTAAATGTTTGGGCACATTAAATGTTTAGATATATGTAACTGAATTCGCGCATAAATTGTCCTCAAATACTCGCTGAAGCTACATCCTAATGTGCGCGTTTGATGCGGGCTATTAGTCTACTGTACCGCAAATTGAACAACATTAAAAACTACATACGTACACGGAAAATGACTGATTGACGAAAAAACCAATATTATAAAAGTAGGAAATTTAATTAACTCTAATATTTATTTGTCACTTTTTTCGTAGGATTTACATAATTATGTATAACACGATTGTCATCGGATTCGCCCGACTCGGTCCTTACCTCGCCGTCATTGCATTGTTCATGCTCGTCGCGTGTGGATTCGCAATAACTGTCTGCAACGTCGTCACCGTGCGGATGAGGAGTTATCTACCGATAACTTTGTATCCACTATTTCCACTTTTAGTCGTTATACTAACTATCGTGCTAAACACAGTGTTAAGATTTGCAGCTGAATGTACAGAAATTAGTGCTAACTTGATCAGGTTTTGGATGTGTGATGCTGACCAAAGAGTGGGAGCGGTGGCGGGGAAAATACATCGGAAACGGTTAAAAGCTATGCAACCCATCAAATTATATGTCGGATTAGGGAGACAAACGCGGATGGATATAAGCAAAGAATTTGTGTGTTTATACAACCAAACGATAATCGATTACACTGTAAAAGCTTTATTACAGTTTAAGTTTTAAGGTGAAAATAAACAAAGTAGAATTTTCAAATCTCCATAATTTCGGATGGATTTCGGATGTGGAAGACAATACTTATTTCACTTGTTTTAATTAATTCCGGTAGTTTAAACATAATTTTGTCAGAAATAAGCTTTCAGGCCAATTTAGCTTGCCAAATCGTCTTAATTCATTCCTGCATAAAATGTGTACATGTTAATCCACCTACTTATTTATATTTCCGTCGCTCTGCAAGCACAATTACAACCAACGAAATTGTTATCCAGCCAAGAACGGGTAGGAAGCCCATGGCCACGACAGGATTCGTAATCCCCCATCCTCTCGTACAAATTGATCTCAGCGCCTTAATCATTTGAGTGATAGGTACGAACACAAAGAGTTGACGTACAATCCACTGCGCCATTTCGGGTGGCCACATGGCTCCTGTGTTTCAGGTACAATAATCATTATTTATATACGCTGTCACATAATGCCAACCTTTGGTAATGATTTCTTACTAGTCGTCGCTTTTCAAATGATTGTTCAGGCAGGGGAATTAAATAAGTTGATTCTGCGGACAATTATTGTTTTGCGGTTAAAAAATCATCACCAACTTCAAAGAATCTCTGTCTATAGGTCGCGCTTCCTATGCACATTGTACGAAAATGGATAAGGTCATAATTACCTGCCGCAAGTAACTGACCCTGAAGAACCAGAATTAGCATGAAAATAACGTCAAGTATCTTGTCACACAATGCCCCAATCATAACACCTGAAAATCATACCTTGAAACATACATAATCCACTCTTAAATTTAAATAACTTCAAGTTACGTACCCAACATCAACCCGGTAATGGCACAAGAGTAAATCAGACTCACTCCAAGTACCCACGAACCTTTGATCTCGACACCATAAAAATTGTACATGACCCCCAGAAATATCCCAATTTGTATCAAAATCGTGCAACTTTGAGTCAAAATAGCGGAAATAATTCGGTGCCAGAGGTGCACTCCGGAAATAAATTCTCTCCCCTCGAAGCCAGCGACTCGGTCTTCCATCGAAATCACGACGAGTGCCATTAGCAAAATGAACATGTGTCTGTCAACAGCGAGACAACAATAAATTAGATTGGAATATTCCCAAAAAACTTGCAAAACTTGTGAAATTTACCTACAGAATTTACTTACAGAAGTATTACACCAGGTTTGATATAGGAGATGACGTCAAACAGTTCGATACTTCCATAAATTGCGGTAAACTGAATTAAATTAAGTATATTTTATTACTCTAAAGTAGAATGATTATCGCCGGTTTGGTATCGCTAACCTTCAGCCCTGGTTGAGCAATGCTCACGTTGAAAGAACAAGCCGCAACAATACTTTCGACGAAAGTGAGATATTTGTCGATTATGATTTTCCTTGCCCAAAAAGACAATATTTTGTCTGAGAACATAAATACATAACATGTAAATTCATTTATATTTGTGCAATTAAGCAATTGTTTTTGTCGTAAAATCAAAGAGGTTTACTTGACTCGTCCATCCGAACTGAAATCGTGGATCCATCAATCGCCTCATTATCGGCAAAATTGCGCTGTAACACTCTATTTTGCATGTGCATGGTAAAGTTCCCGGGAAACTCCAGCATCCCAAGAATTCTCCCCCTTTCCACTAAACTCATGCCATCTTGGTGTGAGTTTACATGGATCTATAAATTTCGTACATTAGTTAAAATTCAATACTCGACAAGCAATGTTTTTTTACCCAGGAAAACTTATTAGTGTCAAAGTTCTGCAGAAAGTCGCAAATGCCCACGTTCTCGAAACATTTTGTCTCGTTATTGTAGTTACAAGTTGGATCATCTATGTTGAAACTGGGATCATTGTGGATTATCCCAAATTTTACTCCGTGTGGTTCCGTTCCCGCGATAATTTCAAACGTTAGCGCAACCAAGATTGGAATAACCAGCTCTCCAAATAATAACCTGATGTGTGTAAAAACAATTAGTCAATTCACGTAATCATTGGTAACTTGTAAAATCCGTAAGTTTTATAAAATAATTCTATAAACTTGTACAAAATAAAAAGACGCCCTGATCTGACTCAGGTCAGGGGCGTTTTTCAGGGGGTTTTTTTGCAAAACGTTTTGCAAACTTACTCAGATGATCTGAGCATGCAAAAATTTGCATGCAAATGCTAAATTCAAAAGTTAACTTTCCTTAGAAACAACAAAAATGAGTAATTTTACATGCAGCATTTACAGATTTTGCAATGTTACTAAGCCCCGCATCAATTGCCCCAATAAGTTAACTTACAGATATTAATAATTACAAGTATTTGACAAATATTTATTAACCTCCAATCTCGACGATGCCGAGTCCACCATTTGACGCTAAGAGCGTGAATAATTTTAGCGTTGTTTGGTTTAGCACGTGGTGAGCACATGGCGTTGAGATCATTAAATCTCGATGCTTTACGATTCAATCTAGCACTCAAGATCGATTTGGTGACATTTTGAGATTCAATTTTTCCATCTAATAAATTGCTCTCGTCTTGTCTACACAAGTTCAAAACCGCATCTAGCATGGTTGCAACTTTGTATTTGCTTAATAATGATTTAGGGTTATCTTCTTCCAGTAATCGACCTCCTCGCATTAAACCGACCTGTAATTTACATTACAAATTTATGTCAAGTTGACGTTAATTTTCATACGCATTTCTAACCGTATCGCAGTGTCGAGTTTCTTCTACATAATGTGTCGAGACAATTATGGTGACCTCATAATTTTTTGAAATATCAGATAAATATCCCCAAATCCTGTAAGATAATGAACCTATAGATACTTATCTAGTGCTTATCTAATAAGCTAATCATTGTATGCACCTCTGTCTTAACAAAGGATCCAATCCAACGCAAGGCTCATCGAGGACAAGAATTCGTGGATTATGAATCATCGCAATGGCCAGTGACACCCGCTTTTTCTGTCCACCGCTGCATCATTTGTCATACATATTTATTTACATATTTATGTATCAGTCAATAAATTACGTTTATACACACGTCATGAATACACTTTTCTTAACAGTTTTGGAAATTTTCCCCACCTCAGAGTATGCACTAAATTATTTGTTTTACGCAGATCAAGGAAACTTGTTAGAAAATCGACTCGTTTCTTGATTACAGATTCATCCATGCCATAAATAATTCCAAAATACCGCAGCGATTCTACGATTGTCAACAAGTTCAGAAGCGCCGTTTCCTGTGGGAATTATTTAAGTAAATAATAAGCTCGTAAAGATTCTCAGATTATAAAACCTGTGGCATGTATCCCAGAATTTGAGCAAGGTTGTTTCCACGAGGAAAAATGGTAATTTCCCCCATGTCCAGTTCACGAAGCCCGACTATGCAGGACAGCAAGGTGGTCTTCCTACACATTTATTGCTATGTAAATACCAATTGACGTTGCAATAATTAAGGATTAAATAAATTGGGAATTAATTAAATACGTGAGCTACATACCTAGTCTGCCACGAATTCTTTTGACAAACATTTTTTAGTATATAAAAATAACGGGTAATAATTTTTATTTAAAATTTTCCACATGGATGCATAATATACCTGTATATATTATAAAAATACAAAGTTTCAAAATTTCCTCTTCTGGAGTGTAGAAACTTATAAAATCTGATAGGCGGCCGGTCGCTTGGAGCACGCATGGTTTCCCTTGCAGATTTATCGTCAGCTCTGCGTAAATTTAGGAAGGAAAGTGGCAGAATTTGCACATGGCAAAATTCATACATACCCCTGGGAGTAGGACAATGTCGAAGATCTCATCCCCCTAGCTCTGTGATGGCTTGGATTAGAACAAGTGGGCAGGAGAACGCGAGACGCTGTTTTGTTCCAGAAAGGGTTACAGTGAAGAGTTATACGGACAAAGCTTCCAAACCCACTGAAAAACCTTTGACGTCCGACCTATTCAAAAATGGAACTTGGATTTCAAAACAGGTCACTGCTGAGTAATAAGGTGCAAAAGTTGTCAAAAATTAGCTATGAGCTCATTTCATCGATTTAATTTGGTCAGAAGAATTTTATCGGCAATGACAGACCTTAATCATCTGAATTACGACTTATGGCTTAAAACTGAGACCAAAGCCTGGACTAAAACTTCCACTGGTGCAGAAGTTCTCAAAAAAATTTAACTCAAGGCGTGTGACAAATTTCCATTGGAAACCGTGCGTGCTCCAAGCGATCGGCCGCCCGTCAGATTTTTTAAGTTTATGTACTCCAGAAGATAAAATTTTGAAACCCTGTATTTTTATAATATATACAGGTATATTATGCATCCATGTGGAAAATTGTAAATAAAAATTATTACCCCGTTATTTTTATATACTACAAAACGTTTGTCAAAAGAATTCGTGGCAAACTAGGTATATAGTATGACAATGCAGAGGCAATTTTGCAAAATGTTATCATGGATTCGGGCACATACATAGTTTGCCTAATCTGACAAACATAACCATAAATACATGCACTCACCTGGGTGGGTATACACTCCTCATTTGTAGGATTAGAAAAAATTAATTTCGTAACTTTGTAAACATTCCCTAGTTCCCGCGACGAACCCAGCTGGCTTTTTTTATTTGGAGTGAGCCAGAAAGGGTTCGTGGAAAGTCCATAAGGAAAAACGCCACGATAGAGGTACGATTTCTGACCCCCTATTGGTAGTATTAACGCAGCGCGTGTGGCTGCTGCACGCCCAAGCAGTGTGTGCTTCGCCCCACGATGGTGGTGCACCACCGCTCATATCCACAAAAAATTACGTTGGAAGCACCTAGGTGGCGTCGGCACCGCCATTTAGAGCATCAAATTTGGGGAGACGCGACTCCGAAATTGGCGAAATTGGAGAGAATATGTCCAAATAGGGGTGCGGACGCCACCTATGTGCTGCAAACGTAATTTTTTGATGCCAGGATATATGGACATGAGCGGTGGTGACGGTGAGAGTTGCAGCCACCACGTTTGGCAGAAAATGCACGAAATCGTGTGTGCTCCCAAAATCTCACTTTTTTTTCTGTTTTGCGGTGGCTGTTTTTCAAATACACTTTCTAGGAACTCTAACTGTGTTCAGTTAGAGTCCTCGCAGGAACTAAACATTCCCTGGGTAATTTCGATTTGCAAAGTCACACGTAAGCCCAATCTTACAATTAGCTCGAAGAGAAAAAATAAGAAACTACAAGAATATTTTTTACGAATCGAGTGTTGGCGTAAATCATGAGTAGTTAAAGTTTTTACTACTTCTTTGTATTTTAATTACATACATTTCGAAATTCGACGAGTGCATGCCCATTTATTGGCATTCACGCTTGTATAATATACACGCATAGCATACACATGTTAACTTTCCACTATCGCGCATATATTTTTGTATTTCGAAAATTGAGCATACCACAACATAACTTAGAAAGTTGGGAAATTTGTTAGATTTCGCAAAATTTCTCTAGCAATTGGGCATGTTTTTATCTCGCAAGATTATTTCACAAACTCATCCTCTCTATTAAACGCTGTAGAAATTGAAAATAATAGAATTTTTTTTTGCTTCATAAGTTTCGCTAAGTGAGTTGCGATGCCACATATTTGCCAAGATTTTGACCTGAGAACGCCCACAATTCGATTAACAAATGATGATAATTTAAATCAGTTTCAATATCGAAATATGCATGTAAAGTGTACACAACTGTTGAGAAATCCTGTCCTTTCCTGTCATTTTTCAAAAAATACAATGGATACCAAAGTAAAATAATTATCGATTACCCGCAACCGCTCGCTCCGAGTAATCCAAAGCTAGAATCGTTTCAAAATTAATAGATTTCATTAATCTGGATACAATTGTTACTATTTATTAATTTATTTATATTTCTCACATTTCCCCCCGACCGATGTTAACGTTTAAGTTGTTAAGTACGAATTCCCCACGCCCATATTTTTTAAAACCGTTCCGTACTTGAACAGCCATTCCGACAATTAACAAAAATTCAACTGAAAAATTTACTTTAATTTCTTCTTCCCGATTGACGGGAACTAGTAAAAATATTTCACGAGTGTTTAATTGGACAGCGTAATCTTGAGGAAAAACTGGAGTGTCACGCTGCGAAGAAATCCTTTGTTCAGGAAAACTTGACCAGTTTACGTAACATCTAAAATGCACTTCTCAAAGTTCACGACTGTCTCGTGCCTCGTGACGACTTCGCAATGTCGTCAGATTCTACTATGTAAATATGTAATTGCACGGGCAGAACCTCACCAATCTGCATGGGAGCAATGTCTACTAAATAATTTATTTACCTGGCTGACGAAGGAGGGAGAAATGTATCCAAGATTAAGTATTGTTCAGATTCCTAATATGTAGGAATATGAATGCAATTGGAGTTGTAATGTGTAGTTTGCATTTTGTGTTCAGTTTGCATTTAAGATGCAGATTGAACGCAATTTACATTGGTTTTGCAGTAGAAGCAAACCGAAGCATGCAAATCAATGTTTTGCAACACAGAACACTGGCAGTGATGTCAAGCAGAGTGCAAACTCATCTTATGCAGACTGAGTTGTCCAGCTTTGTAGTTTGCTAAACAGGTAGAAATGGTAGTATGTAATGTATGCATGCATTTGTTCCAATGATGAACAAACTATTGTGTTTATGTATATAATGCGGAAATAGACTTATTTTAGCTGGAATGAACTATGAGATTTAGCATACACGGGTGCTTTTCCGTCCGCTCTGCAGTATAAAGCTAGCCACGGACCAAAGCCCGCGTAACGCCCATTTAATCTTTTTGTAACAGAGGGTTGTTCTGCACAAGAGTGAATCGCAAATCTCAGATTGCCCCAAATGGGAAATTGAGATTGCAAATTACTTGTATCAAATTACCCATCAAAGTAGTTGTATCAAGTTACCTATCAGAAATAGTTGTATCACATTACCCCAAATCAACTAATAGAAATAATATCATACACAGTTTGTATGTACTAATTAATTGAAACATAAATAAACCAGTTAATATTAATATAAAATTAACCAATTGAAGTTAACTACGAAATCATTTACACAACCATAGAGCTTTATGCTAAGAAACTGGTGCACACTAATTCAAGTTGCGCTACACTTAACATACACACACTCATAAATTAACCAACGTGAATTTACAACTCGCACACCTCATAAGAATTTACTTACGAATAAAAACAAGTATGTAGACAGGTGCAAATATGTATTCCTAATCCAACTAATTTTTACAAAAATAAGAAATCCTAAATCAGAAATTAACTTAATAAGTATGAGCATATATGTAAAAGCCATTTGGGGATTGCACCTCTATGCAACTGAATTTACTTATATTATATTATTTTTCTAATCATAATTTTCGTAATTCGTTAATAATCTTTCTTAAAAACCTGCTTACTGTATGCTTGAAATTCTTAGTAAATGAGTCTGTCAACGTCCAATCCAATAAGTTATACCTACTTACCACAGATATGTACCTACACAAATACATAAATATTAAATTTTAGCCTATAAAGATAAATACATACATAAATATATTTATGCCTCAAACTTTCAAATGCCAAGTTCTTATACATTTTACCGAATACATACTCATTTAAAGAAAGCGAGTTGGTTGTTTCGCAAAATCCGTACATTAGTGTCTATAACTACCAGGGGAAAATTCACCCTAAAATTTAGGGCCTAAATTTAAACTATGCATTAGAGCAAGTCCAATTTCCCAATTTACGTATTACCATTAACTTATCAAACTATGTACACATATTTTTGGTCACAGACTTAAGACTTCGTAAACATGTCCAATCCAGTAAGTTATCTATGTACTTACCAAATGTACATATGTAAGTACCTTCACCGACCTAAATACTTAAATATATATGTAAATATTTAATTTTACTCTATCACATCACGATAAAGATATGCCCGAAACGTTGAATTGCAAAATTCTTATAAATTTTATGGAATACTCATTTGGAGAAAGCGATTGGATTGCCCACAAAATTCGAACATTCGTATATCGCAATTATCAGGGAAAAGTACCTTAATTTAAATGTTAGAACAATCTCCCAATTTATCTACGTATTAAATAGCATTAACTTATGAAACTACATATTTTGCATCGAAGCAACGAGTCGTTGCTTCGATGCAATGTGTGTCGTTGCCAACGACACACATTGTATCTTATGTATCCCATGATTACAGACTTGGAGAAATTTATACAAACACAGTTACTCGCCCATATAGTTATTCACATGAAAACCATTCCTGTCATAAAATGGCACAAGTCATTTACCAAATTGTCGACTCGTACTACAAAACTTTCGAAAAATTCCCAAAACTTCCATTAATTTGGAGCCGACAGACCCACCGCCTCCTTGCCGTTCGTAATTTTAAAGACCTCACAGGATGGGGAAGCGAATGCATTTTTCTCCTGGGATTGTGTGTCTTAATCCCAAAATTCGCCCAATTTATCTACATTGTGCAAAAATATTTGCAACTTGGCCACTATCCTGATCAGGATGAATTTGCCAGCCCAATACAACTCTTGTCCATTGCCGTAGCTATCCTCGGGAGTGGTGTCGCCATCTCGATCTCATTTTTTGGCCTCCTATTTAACAGAGAAATCGTTCAAACATTAAATTCGCTATTTGATGTGGAGCAGCTTTTGGTAACTCGTGGGAACATTTTACACAACAGAGCAGAAAACCATCGGGATAAGTTGACCCCAAAAGAAGCCTTAATTGCAAAGGTTGTAGGACACGTTCCACTATTTGCGTTCTATTTTGCGCCAGCGATTGCAATTTTTGCAGTTGCCAACGGTCTGGATCCACTCACTTTTGTAGTGGATGGATATTTCCGGCCTGACTGGAGAAGGTATCAACTCGTCTGGTTTTTAGGATTTAAGGCTTTCTCCTTGATCATGTTGACGTCTGCGGTGATCTCTGCGAGTAAGATGTTGCTCGGGGTGGCGTGTTTATTCACCTGTCCGGCGTGGTTCTTGCAGCATACTATTCGAATGTTGGGGAAGGATTATGAGGTCTTTGGAAATCAGGGGGTGGTTTGGATCCGGAATGTCAGGTGAGTCTAATGTGGAGAGTCCTCCCTATTACTACGATATGTTAAAGGTTGCAACACTTGGTACATAAGTTTAAAGGTAGATGTTGCATTTTATAGTAATTTTAATCAGGCTTCCACAAATCATAATTACATTTCATGAAAAGCTCTTGACCCTTCAAAATCTTTAAGCAAGTGGGCGGACAAAAGTTGATGCAAAAAAGTGAGTCCATGTACCTTTATACGATCGTCATGTCCGTCCTTCTATCCTTTGGTCCGATAACTTTCGAACGAAAAGAGGTAAAGATTTGAAATTTTGAACGTAATCTTCTAACGCAAAGGGAGAGTCCTAAGATGGACACTGTAGGTCATACCCTTCAAAGTCAGAAAAGGTCAAGAAATGTCACTTATAGATCAAATTGCATAAATATATCAATTTGAACTTAAATTAAACCCCGAATTCAATGGTGAGCTCCGTTTTTGAGCTCCTAAACTGTTAACTTTGATTCATACATATGTCAGAATTGTGAAAAGCACGTCAGACATGTAAGTTTTAACAGATTTTGTACGGGCAAACGCAATTGCGTCCAGTTTGACCGATAAAACAGCTTTCATCCCTTGGTTACATTTGTTTTAACGGTTTATTAGTCTATCAAACTGCGAATTTCAGCTAATTTAAAACCTACGTACGGTGGTTATTATAAAATTAGTATTTAAATCTAATTGAGTTTAATATTTATCATTCTTTTCGTACAGAATTTACATAATTATGTATAACACGATTGTCATCGGATTCACCCGATTTGGTCCATATCTTGCTGTCATTATACTGTTTGTGCTCGTTGCGTGTGGATTCGCAATAACTGTTTGTAACGTCGTCATCGTGCGGATGAGGACTTATCTGCCGATAAGTTTGTATCCCATATTTCCACTTCTAGTCGTTCTAATCACAAAATATTGGTAAACGGCGCACTAAAATTTGCAGCTGAGTGTACCGAACTTAGTGCTGATTTGATAAGGTTTTGGATGTGTGATGCCGACCAAAGAGCCAATTCAACTCTTGTCCGTCGCCGTGTCCTCCATCGGAGGTGGTGGAGCCATCGTAGCTTCATCTTTTGGCCTCCTGTTTAAAAGAGAAATCGTGCAAACTGTAAATTCGATATATGACATGGAGCAGGTTTTAGTAACTCGTGGAAACATTTTACACAACAGGGCAGAAAACTATCGGGATAAGTTGACCCCAAAAGAAGCACTGTTTGCTCAGATATTAGGATATGTTCCACTATTTGCGCTCTACGTGGCGCCAGCGCTTGGGATTTTTGCAGTTGCCAAAGGTCTGGATCCACTCACTTTTGTGATGGATGGATATTTCCGACCGGACTGGGAAAGGTATCAACTCGCCTGGTTTTTAGGGTTTAAGGCTTTTTCCTTGATCATGGTGACGGCCGCGGTGATCTCTGCGAGTAAGATATGGCTCGCGGTGGCGTGCATATTCACCTGTCCGGCGTGGTTCTTGCCGTATAATATTCTATGGGAGTGAGGGGATAGTTTGGATCCGGAATGTTAGGTGAGTATATATGTAATGCGTGGGGACGCAAACCATGTTCAACCCAGATTATTTTTTACCTTTAGTTTGAAAGATGATCAATGTAATAAGTATGTATTTAGAAACAACAGTAGTGCGGCACAAAATTCGGATGGGAGCAAGTTCGCGAGTTTTCGACTTTTCGACCAGATTCTGTGCTTTGCAACGGCAGTTTTGACGTCTACTGCGTTGATCCCTCGGGAAAACCGAATTTTTTCTCGAACTTGCGGTTCCCCTAATTCTCTTAATTTCGAGCATCTTCTCAAGTTCCATAGTAAATGTTGTTTCTAAAGAGTTGAGCTTTCAAACTGAGGTGGCCAAAAAATATGTACATAGGACCATAAGTTGGGATGAAATGAGATAAAACAAAATCGATGACTGGGTTGAAATGAGATCAAATAAAATCGATGGTTGGGGTGAAGTGAGACGAAGCAAAATCGGTAATTGGAGTGAAACTAAATGTTTGGGCACATTAAATGTTTAGATATATGTAACTGAATTCGCGCATAA